TAACATCCATTTGAGAAAAATATTCCTAACTGCACTGAGCCACGTACTAGGTTGCAATGCCAAACTAAAAGGCCTGCTTTCAAAATCAGGAAGCCGAGGGTGCTAATAAGGATGCAAATAACAAAAAAAATACACCAAGAAAACAAAAAGGCAGGATTATTTGCAAACGCTAAAACCTTGGCTGTTCTGTAATGGAACAGTACTTCTTATAATAATGTTCTGCAATATGCCACACACTTAAGTGCTCAAGTTTAAGAGAAGTTTAAGTTTTTCTAATCAAAACTTCCTGCCTGTCAGCAACAAGTATACCCCACATATGGCAGATTAGTTCCTCTAATGCTGAACAGGCTATATTTATTTTCTCCCACTAAACGGTTTTATATCAAGCATAAGAGAAGATATTTGTTACCAGGTAAAGTATAAGCAGGTTTAAAAATACACATTTGTTCCCTTATTTCATGAAAAATTTGTTTTCTCAAATAATACATTTAACTTATAAGAACAAATAAATTCAGTATCAATAAGCACCTATTTCAAATACTATCAGAAAATATAATGCATCTCACAGATTGCTATATATTAGCGTAATGCATAAGGTATTCTACCCCACTAGCTACAAAAATAAGTGTTAACATTGAATTTAACTATCAGATGATAGGAAACTAAGATACAAACGACAGTAGAGCAGACAGTCAGTATTCAGCACTGGGAGGAGAAAACAGCCCAAGTGATATCCTCAGAAACCCTCTGCAGATAGCACACATCTTTAGAAAAGAGGATACATGCTGAAGCACGAGCCTTTAAGATATCATTAGAGTAAGCAAAATACTTCTCGGGAAATAACTGCATTTTTCCACAGAGTGGTTACATCACTAGACAGAATCACTTTATACAAGCAATATACAGCAGAACAGCATTGAAAGAGTCATTTTTAAAACTGCACATCTTATGTACTATCCAGCTATCACCTGTATTCAATATATACACTGAATAAATTCAATAATTCATATACTGATGCACTGTGCTAATCTCCATCATTACCTTCAAGTAGTTTGATTGTAAATAGTAAAATATATTTTACAAACTTACAGCTCTCAGTCTGATTTAAAAATATCAAGAGATAAATTAAGAATCGGCATTACCTACTCTTTTAAAAAGACTTCTGTCAAGTAGTAATTCTTTAACAAAAGGGGTTTCTTTGGCTTTAAAATAATTTTATTTTTTAATACCAAGTAATATCCTGAGCACAAATTATTATTATTGAAAAACTAAGGCCAACAATAGAGAATTGCCAGTTTGGAAAAATCCATCCAATATTCCACACTATCCAAAGAACTACAGAGCAGTCTCCAGAACTATCCCTACTCACTATACTTTCCACACCAAAATAACAACAAGACTAAAGGCCAAGCTATTACTAATTTTGAGAGAGAATAAATTCCAGATGTTCTGACTAACTTTCAACCAGGTATTTCAATGAGGCTTTAAGTCAGGTGTTTCTGCAAAAATTCACCACATTAATACATGACAACAAACTACTTTCCCTGCTCTTAGAAGGCTTCACATTTAGAACTTTATAAAATCAACAATTTTACTCTTGTGCAGACCTAACAGCTCTGCTTTTAATGCACTCACTTAGCAATGATGCTTAACAAGACTTCTTGACCTGCATTAAGTTTCTGAACAGATGTAAAATGCAGCCCTACCTGCAGCAGGACTACAGCATTAGTCTCATGAAAAGAATTAAGGTTTCCCCAGGAAGATATCAAACAAAAAACCTGCCTGACTGTTTATATGTGCAAATAATATATATATATATATATTATATATGTAAATACAAAGTTGCCTCTCTCTCTGTGACTCTTATGAACTTTATGCATTCAAACTAGAGCAAAGCACTACTCACTCATATCTAAAACCTTAATCACTGCCAAAATATATCCCTACCATATCCCCAAATCCTCATCATTTCTATTTAGTTACCTGTTTCCTTACAAAAGCTTTCCAAGATAGACTATGCATTTCCAACATTAACTATGCAAATTTAAGTGGCAATAATCCCCTATTTCCAAATGTTTTGAGC